AACAGTACCAAGTCTGTTATCTGGAACTAGATTGCTTACCAGTACTAATTTTTATCCCTCATTGCTCTCAGACAAATAAGATGCATGGCATTATAAAATATGACTCTGAATTTACGAACACTTACATAATAAGCTTATACTTTACATGTTGTTGAGTCAACATACTGAAGAGCATTTTCCTCTGCAAATGTTTTCAGGATTTAGACTTAAGCATAACAGAGGACAAGTAATAACAATGCAGAAGCAAGGACTAATAAGATTATGATATTGTTTTCGTGGATCACACCAAACCTTATAGATTCACATTTCTGAAACTACTTTGGTTTCTGAATTTCTATCACTGCTAGAGGTCACAAGAGTAGATTCAAAAAAGCAAAGTCATGCTAGCCATATAAGAATTTCCTTTCTTTGCTAGAATTCCTCTGTTTCCATCCATACCGGTATTTTTCTATACAACTTTACTTTCTCCCAAAGCTTTCTAGGGGAGAGAGAAAAAAAAAAAAAAAAGCTGTATTTTTAACTACTTGGCACCCAAACAATTTAAAATTCAGCATTTGGAATACAGTGTCTCCTGGGTCAAACTAACTAATATAATTAATCAGGACTAAACCATTTTGTTAGGATAAATTTTTGCTCTAAAGATTAGGCTTTTCTCATGTAACTTGTGATTTAGGCCTGTAAAAAACTGTAAAAAAAAAAAAAAAGATAAGGGCTTTTTCTATACATGCCACAATGCATTTCACTACAACAGCTTAAGAGGAGCCTATTTACCGCTAACAAGAGCGTCTTCCTTAACTAGCAAGTCAAAAAATAGTCCCTTAAAATAACATTCACCTACTAGCAAACTGACTGGAATATGCAAACAATAATTTCAAATCTGTGTCAGTGTTTCTGCAGCTAGTATCCTCCTACTGTAACATTAAAGCAACATTAGAAAAGCATTTTGTGTATTTCTATTTTCAGTAAGAGAAAGGAATTCCACTCATACACAGTGAAGCTTCTCTAACCATTGACAGAGATCATCTTCCACATCAGCAGGTCACAGTCACTCAAATTACAATAGAGTATTTTGTTTCAATAATTTTTTTTTAATTCAGCAGTTTTCCTATCTCAGAGCTATCAACTACCAGCTGCCGCCTATTATTAGTCAGTGTTGTTATTGCTTTCGATTAAAAAAAACAGACACAAGACACCCAACCTTAAAACTTAAAAAGTGTAATCCTTCTCACCATATGAATTGACTTCCCTGAGGCCTTTTTGAAAGCTCCTGTCTAGCAAGCTGAAGGCAATTCTGTTTCACAACTTGTTTTTACTTTGGTTTAAAGGTTGATAAAGAAACACTGGACTGCAATCTTTTAACATTACCACTCCTTTATGTTATCTATTAATTGTTCATATCCACTTGAAAGCCTTTCCCTATGCCTCTGAATGGCAAAGTGAATTTGATATAAAGGAAAGTCTTTACATTTTACCCTTTGCATTTCGTCCCTAAGATGCTATTAAACCCTTATACTTATTTATTGATAACTATCCTTACTTGTTTTGTCTATCATTATTTATAATATATGCCTCAGAGCTCGAGCCAAAACAAAAGACAATTATGTGGAATTTTTGGACCAACAAAATCTGTAAAAAGATTTTGTTTATTGCCTATGAAGAATAAAAGCATGTTCTCCGCATAGTGATATTTCTTTTCTTGACAAAATAATCATGCACCTTAGCAGTCTGCATGCACAGTTTTGACAATACTCAAGGACTGCACACGACCAACATATTCTCCTTTCTCATTACCACTGAGAATGCCCTAAAGCATACATTAACACAAAACACAGGAAAGTGTGGATTCCAAAAAAAAAAAAAAAAGGCAGATAAAATAGATTTTCAAAAACTCCAATTAGTTTTTTCTTCTATTTTGGACATTATCCAGGATAGAATACCAATAGCAACAACACTCAAATCACAGCATCAATTCAGTCGTGTACTCACCAAGTTGCTCTGTCACCACTGAGAGTCTGCTCTGTTAAAAGGAGAGCCTGAAATGGACTGCTAGAGTTGCATACGTCGGCTTTTTGAAAGTACAAATGAAACCCTGATACTGCTGCTTTAAAATGCATCATTTATGGCAGCAGTCTTAAATTAATTCACTAAACACAATGGGCCTTTTCAGGATTGATGCCTTTTCAAGTTCAAAGCAAAAGATAATGCATCTGGAGGTACACTTTGGGAGAATATACGGAAATTACATCCATACAGAATACATCATTTTCTCAGCAAAATATCCTCTGCTCCCTCCCCCTAAAATCACCTGGCAGATTTTACTCTCAAAGTCAGCATACTTTTTTTTTTTTTAATATAATTTATATGCAACTTCAGAAAGAATATGGGTAAATGAGTTGATATTTGTACGGAAATTTCAGGTGAAGTTTGAAATACAGTGTATGTGAGGAATCTGACATGAGCTCATATTGAAGCCTTATCCTCCCTTGGTTCCAAGAAGTACCAAACTTAATTTTGAGTAGTTTGGACAGGACTTAAATGGCAAGGTAGCACAATTTTCAGCAACAGACGGTGGCACTTTAGGATTCCTGAACACTGATTTAATCTTCGAGATTAGATTCATCCATGTTAAGCCTATAGGGAGATGATCATCACCCAGTTTGTCCTCCTGTATAACACTGGACTATGAGCCTTATCCACTAATATCTGCCAGCTCATCTAAAATTCCCCAAGAAAACACCAGCCACCAACAACCAGGCCTCAGTTTTAAGTACTCTCTGGACACATTGAGTTTTCAATGAAGCATCATTAAATTTGCTTCTATAAGAAAAGAAGCGCAAAAGAAGTACTTTCAAGGTAAAAGAATAGTCGTGCAACAAAAGAGAAAGACTCTTCCTGGAGTGAGTGATCTTCTGCCTGGCTTTCTAAGCAAGAATAAACCTACCGAAAATAGTATCATACTCCCCTCAGCAACTATAGTTGCGTCTTGTTGGAGAGCGAGAGCTTAAATAAATCTTCAACAACTAAAAGCCTACAAACTAATTCCATCCATAAGCTCTACAACTGTTTCCAGTGATTATTTTAATACGAATTGTCACTTTTGAATTCCCTATGAAAATAGTGATATACTCATTAGATTTTGTGGAAATGCATTTGCCATTAAGCAAGCAAGCTATTACTGTTACAATTCACTGAAAGGCTTGAACAAACTCTTTGTTTAGCAGAATTGTTTTCATGATTACCTAACTACTGCACTATGGTCAGCTCAAACGGAGGCAAAAAGAGACAGCTTGCTTGTTCTACTCATGTCGAGGAAAGAGTCCAGTTAGAAGCCTCCCTAGTTTCTCCCCACAGAATAACATGGCTAGAGTATATAAAAAGGTAATCACCTTCTCTGAAAGCAGTCGCTACACTTTTACCTCTAGCAGTGCGGGACAACTGCTATTTTCTTTTGGGACTTTTCTCACATCTTTGTCCATTCCCCTGCCACCTGCTTCCAGGTTTGTAACTGCAGCCCAAGGCCATCTGGTGGGATGATGTTATACTGAGGAAGAGAGGGCATCTGCTGGACCTGGAGCACAGCTGGAAGCTGGCTGAAGAGTTGCAGAAAGGGGTAGGAGAAGGAGAGACCTATAAAAGAAACTGCCTTTCCCCCCAGTGTGCAGCCTAGAATTCTACTGTTCTTCTGGAAAGCCTGGAAGCTATGTCTGAACACGGATGCATTGGAATTGGACTTTGAGGGGGAATGATATAGCAATATCACACACACACAAAACAAGAGACAGATTTACTTTAGGTGGAGGGTATGAAAATTCAAGGGAAGCATTAAGTGTCCAAGTAGCACCACATGCTGAGGCTGTGGTGCTATCAAACAAGCATGGGAGCTAATAACGCACTAAGTGCCAAATGGTAAGTGAAATCAGTGGCCCACAGTTCTGAAACAGCTTTGACTAGTGAACTCAAGCATATGAAAAACTGCCTGCAGCAAAAGAGCTTCAACTGGACACTTCCACTCCAAAGGAAGAACAAAGTAACTGATGTCAGCTAGTAGAAAAAGAACGTGAAGAAATAAGCTGAGGAAATAAACTACTTCAGACCCAACTGGCTGCTGCTTGTCTTGGCAGAGCCAATAGAGAGCTGAATCCAACGTGTAAAGAGAAAACAGAGGGAACAACACATTGAGCCATGTTGGCTTACCAGTACCTCGAAAGGCTACTGGATTTGTGCTCTCCCCTTTATCTCATGGCAAGAGAATAAAAACCCAGACTAGAATCCAGCTAGTACTGATCCCTTTTTAGAAAGCCACTTCCAGTTGCTCTGCTGCATGGACTTACCTTGTATCTGCCTCCTGAGCATTCATATAAGCATCTGCTACAAGTGACAGTGAATGCAGAATTCAAGTTATTGCATGACACTTCTGAAAGACAGTATAAAGTTTTCAAATGTTTAAGCATCCTGTTAAAAATATTCTTGGTATAAACAGCTTATATGGCTTGTAAGGAGTTATTTTTGTAGAGATAAAGAAAAATAGCATTTTACAGCTGTTTTATATCAATAAAAAAGCAAATACAATTTTTTTCCCAAGTGTTCAATCAAATACAGAATAAGGAAACATGGGGAAAAATTGGAACTTTCTAAATTATGTAACAAAGGAGGTGCTGCTAGACCTGTGAGTGTTAAGAGAGAGTTTTCTGAGTAACCTTAACAGAAATCCTAAGATATAAATGGCTCCGAGAAGTAACTGAACTACCCTTTTAACCTAAGGGGAGGTTCCTTTCATGTTAGGTTAGCTGCTTTCAGTGTGGCTAAGTAAGAAAATTTGCTGCCTCTGCATCAAATAGCTAAAGCCCTTTTATCCTTTTAGGGTCTCTTTCAAAACCTGACAGAATCTCTAAACACACCTGAGTTGAACATAGGGGTAAGGAGGAAACAAATTTAAAACATTATGTTTTTTTCTTACAAAAAAAGAAATCGCATGTTAGCTCTGGAATGAAAGCGTTTTATTGAAGTGTTCAAATGCATTCAGCTTACATCTTGCAGTTAGTTTACCAAAAATACTTTTTGCACAATGAATTTTATATTACTGAACTATCAAAGTAGGTTATTTTTCTATCCACTTTTTTTTTTTTTTTTTTAAAAAAGACTGTGAAGTTGGAAGCCTCCAATGTACCGGTGCATGCAGAGATAACGAACCTCTCATAGAAACAAGCCTTTTTTTTTCCTCCCACTTTTATTTCTTTTTTCTTCTTGAATGTTTTGTTTTTACCCAACATGGAAGAAAAGGATTTTTCCTTGCAGCTAAAAGCTCTTTTACTGAAGAATGTCTAGAATATTCTCTTTGAACAAAGAAAAAGATTAGCTCTTATTGTTTTAGAAAAAAATAATACTTTGCAGGGCCTTTTCAAGAACCAGGACTATTTTAACCAAATACATTTTAGATTCAAAGCAGGAACCACAGAATCTGCATGGCAATTTGGTATGATGTCATTCACCACAAAAAATTAAATAATCACAACAAACATGGACAGTGGTTTATCATTTGACTCTTCCTATTCTGTGCCATACGCTTTCACTTAATATCTTCTGGGTATGCTCCAGCATACGCTTTTTCAAACCCCTCATTAGAGAGATCTTTCACCTGCTGTTTCCTCTGTTGAGGAGCCATGAAAGATGATCTGCCAACAAGACCTCTACATTCAAGTTAAAAAAAAAAAAAGAAAAAGAAAAAGAAAAAGAACCCAAACACTCCTCTTTTACACAACTATGTACCAGCTTTTTAGAAACAGGAAAAAGTGAGAGCTGAGGCCAGGAACACACAGCAAAGGAAGGAAAAAGCCCAAGAGTGTTTCCAAATCTTGCCACAGAGATTAAAGTAATTCCCTTTATAAAACACTGTTAAGAGATTAATGAAGGCCATCATATTGTGCTGTTCTAGCAGTAATGGCTGGTTAAAATATCTGTCACAGCATTTGCTGCTGCAGATGGGAGCTACTGAAGAACACAACTGTCCTATTGACAAGCTTAATACTACCAAACAATGAAGTCCAACCTTCTGTGTTTTTTCCTGCAAGGGATATGAATGTTTTAATTTCCACCTTCTCTTAAATCTACATACACCCCAGGGCGCCACACAGGCCTTGGATCAACTATCAGTTTAGACTGCGTTACTATTTTATTGGCCGGAGCATTTGGTAGCCACGGATCAATTACTTCAATGACTCCACAGCACTGGTTCCGTGGTTTAGCATGAACTTCACCAACGAGTAGATATATGCCTAGAAGTATATGTTTCTCATCACATTTCCCAAAGTCTTACTGATGCCTATTTCAGTGAAATGTGATGCAGTGTTTTCCCACAAGAAAATAAGCCTATAAGGAGCTGTGCTAACCACATCTGCCACTTCTCACCAGTAGCCTACTGTTTTGGCTTCCTTATACTCCGAAGTGTGGAATTACCTAATTGAAAACCCTCAGGAGTAGACTCATGTCAACTGCCATCAATTCTTTGTTCTGCTCCAGTCCACAAGTTACACTGCAAAACAAGTCACACAATTCAATATGCCCCTCAAAAATGAGCACTGTTTAACTTCTACTGCTGTTAAAAGAACACACTAATATCTGTCAAGGAATGAGAGACTACAATGGCAGCCATAATCACAACTGAGTAGCTGAAGAGTTGGTACAAGAAGATAATTTTATTAATCAATTCCTTTCAAGAGCTTAATTCAACTCTTAGTTACTGGAAACAGTGGAAAAAATTGTTTGAGTAGGGTTTGGATTTAACCCTACATAAACTTTTCCCATACAGCAACACTGTAGAAATTGCTTATCTATCCAAAGACCACAGACAACCTATTGAACAGCCATTGGTACACATATACACATCCAAATCTTAAATTCCTGTCTGATAAGATTAACTTCAGCATGTGCAAAAATTCTGAGACATGAAATTATTTATAGGAATATATTTCAGAATCTAGTGTCTTTTTTCCTTTAAAATATTAAATGTAGCACAGCCTATTACAACCAGTGGAAATATTAGAAATGTTCATTTTTATAGTTCTGAAATAAGTTTACAATAATTATCCTAATAACCAGTTTATTCCACTGCCATTCTCCTGTGCTGACCTTGGGGAATACTGTGACAATGCATTTCTCAACTAAGTGCACAAAGTTCTTACAACAGTTTTCAGACTTAAGACTCCAAGAGCCTAAGAAATATTTTAACTATATCTTCAGTAGGAAAGAACCCCCAAACCAATATAAAAAATAAAGAAAAAGGAAACAAAGAAAAAGAATGTTAAAAAGAGCTGATCAGTGGAATGGAATTTCAACAAAAACTGAAGGAACCAGGTGCTCAGCTCTCACGGATTCAACTTCTTACATAGGACATACGCTTAAAAATGGTGCTAGCCGTTATGAAAAGCACAGATTGTCATGTCATCAGCAATTTAATAGCCCTTCTGACATGTGGAAAAAGTTTTTTATGGAATAAACTCGTAAGAAATATTGTTCCATTATGCAATTTATTTCCAGTGAAACCAAATTTTGCTTCTGCTGTGATCACAGAACATCTTCACATTTGATGCAAACATGAGAGATCAATTACAAAGTCACTCAGTGGCACTAACTTCGACAAAAACAAATAGTTTGGTTATGTTATGTAAAACAGCTTATAAGCATAACTTTAATAATGCTCCAACTGCACTGCAGTTGCAAGAACTTGAACATATAAAGTGCCACATCAATTATCTTTTTGGACAAATTTATCATAATACAAGCTTTAGATATTGTTAACAGCAACATTCTACTGCAAAATAAGGGGTGCATGTTTTTCCAACTTCTAATTTGAAAGTTTCAGCTACTACTGTAAACCTAAACAGTTTAGAAAGCCTTACATCCTCTTTCTAAACTAAAATATATACTATATATATATAATAATTTACAGATAATATTTTATATATAACTGTTTTCACATTGTAATTAAAGAGGAGAAATTTACATTTTTATTTTGGTGGACAAGACTTCATTTCACACCCTAGTTTGGCGTTCCTGTTGCACTGTGAACAGAAGATGAGGAATCATGATCAGACAGGAAGGAGGCAGTGGCAGCAGCTGCTTCAGGAAGCATGGGTGCAAGCACATGACGACAAACAGGGCATGTTCCTGACTGCAGAAAAAGAAAATACACGTCATTTGCACAGTTTGCATGCAATTCTAAATACAAAAGATAAAGTTTCATATTTACAAAGTATACTGCCACATTTTAAGAACAGCACTACCTCAAGGGCACAATCCACTGGAGGAGCTTACTAGAACAGAGCTAAGAGACGTAACGTCATCTCAAAGGAAAGCTGCATTTAGCTTTTACACCATCCTCATCCTCAGTTACATAAAAGAAACTGCATAGAGATAGGCTCTCTTCAAAGAATAGACTTTACAGGTGGGAGCTTTTTTTGAAGCAAAGATTAAATATAAACTAGATACTGCCCAACAGTAATAGGAAGTACTTTCTCCTAGTTTTCAGCAAGAGCAGTTACTATGAGAGTAGAAAAATACAAGACACAATGCAAATAACATAGACAGGGAAATAACACTATGAAACTTAAAAAAATAAAATAAAATAAAATAAAACCCCCACCAACAACCCATGCTAAGGGGGATCTCATCTTACTCCCCTGATCTGAATGAATTAATCTTTTTCCTGTGCCTCTGGAAGAAATGCGACATGAAACTGTAAGCTTAGTAGTTTTCTAACAAATATTTAACAGCTATCAAATCCAGACTCATACTATATGTAAAGCAGAGTGTAAGAGGGAGCTAAAAATACCAGTTGATCAGTTCCCGGTCTTTTACTCTAGCTTCAATTCAAGCCTTTGTAACACATTTTGAATGAAACAGTAATTACAGATGATAAAAGTGAAGGCTAACTCAGTATAGATTTCTCAAAGGTAAGTGTTCTAAATTCCTCTACCAGCACTCCAGCAGGTGTTTCTGTTCTCCTGCCTGTTCTCTACCATAAATGGGCCTAACACACGTTTTGGCGAAACAGATTCTTGGTTTCTCTCGCAGAAAAATCAAATCATTGTCTTTACTTCAGATACAAGTACAGTAAAGAAAACTTGTCTTTTCAACCAGTCAAATAATAACTCATTACTACTGATAACTAATATAACTAATAACTACTGATACTAATAACTCTCCTATCTAAAACCAGAGCTCTCCTTATACAAATGATTAGCATTCAGTTATTCAGTTTATTTATACCTATATATAATATGCACATTTAATAATCAAGACCAGGTCATTCCACTTCAGGTTAGTACAGAAATTACTCTCCTCACTTCAAATAGATTTTGGTTCCACAAAGAATAAAAATAATTTAACCTGTTATTTCATAATATTTCATCCCACATTTTTAGAAAGTTACAAACCATTTTTACCAGAAAAAAACCAAATACTCAAAAAAAAAAAAGTCAGCCTAGTAGTACTTACCTTCTGTAACCAAAGAGTTACACAAGGTTTGTGAAAGAAATGATGACAGGGTAGCTCTGTTATGATTTCATCTTTTACATATTCACTGCAACAGATAGCACAACACTGGTCTTGGCCTACAAGTGCGAAGAAAAAGAAGCATTTTTATTATATATGTCTAAAATTTACTGAAGTCAAATCAGTGCATACTAACAGTATCACTAATGATAAAATACAAATCACACTTAGTCCAGTAAAGATTAATCTTCCAAACTGACCTAAAGTTACATTCACAGACTGATTCAAGATGCAGAGGCTTATTACATATGTCAAGAACAGCACTGTCAGCAGCACAGTAAGTATACTTAAATACCTATCTATGCCATTACAGAAAGTTGAATTTGTTCTTTTAAACTTTGCATAAGTTAACTATTTTTTTCCATACCGTTGTGGTCATCTGTGACAATAATCTGTGGCAGACAGTCTATGCTTTCTTTACTAGCTGGTGGATGAGCCTGTTCAACATCAACAGCCAGAGACTCCAGATGTGCCAGAGCAGTCTGAAAAGGGATATCAAGTTCTGTTACTCACAAATGAAATATTTCATATAAAAACAAAGAGGCAAAGGAAGGGGGGAGGGGAAGGAAACCAGTTCTAATCGTCAAAAGACTGAGGCAAGTTACATCCATCAGACTAGCCATTACATCATTTTTATTTTTGTGATGAATGAACCGAAACTGAAGGTCAAGACAGTAACAGCTTGTTTTTTAATCTTTCTTAACAAAATATCAGGTCAAAGTTGCAACTTATTCTCTAACGAACACCTGCTCATGTTATAAAGTAACTGAACAACCTGGTCTGGGGAAAAAAAAAAAAAAAAAACGTATTTAGAGAAGGCAGCAAGTCACAATCCAATGAAGCTTGCACACAGTGAACTGTCATTGCGTTTCACTTTCTGAACATAAAAGCTTCATCAACGTGTTTTCTGGCTTCAGCTACAATACCACCTAGATACTTAATTTTTCATTAAGTACCTGAGCGACGCTGTCAATGTAAGTCTTCAGAAAAAACAAAAGTTAGGTCTACATAGGTCATTATACAGACGAGAAACATCTAAGACAGGCATAGCGCTCTGTAAGAAGCTGCCACTTGTTTGAAACTTAAAATTAAGATCTTGATTATATAGAATCATTAAGAATCCAATGCCGGAGCAAGCAGAATTGATGTCTGGATTATTTGTTTGATCACAGTAAAGGACCTAAAAGTAGAAAAACCTTCAGTAGAAAATTGCAACACAGTAAATCTATCCAAACTGAACACTAAGAAGTGAAGGAGATGCACCTGGTTGTGTACCAGTGATAAACAATGAAATTGAAGAGCCAAAAAAACCCAGAAGCACTGAGTTCATATCCTGAATGAACTATTCACACTGCTCATGAACTACTTCCTATTCTCATCAGCATGCAATTTATTTATTCTAATGGCCAAAAAACTTTCTGGTGAGAAGTTTCAGGTAATGTGACATTTTTGTAATCTCTGGGGAAAATATAAGGGACACTCCACCACCTAATAACTAAAAAACAAAATAAGTAGACTAGAGAAACATTAGATTACATGCCAACACCTATTTTTAACTCTTGGTCTTTGGAGAAAGTTTTCTGAATGCTAGCCTGAGAATGTGTCTGCACTCCTACTGCAGTGGTGCGGCAGCTCAGGCCACCATCCCACCACAGTTGTAACCCAGCAGCTCTACACCTACGGTCCAGTACTTGCAGCAGCACAGAGATCAGCACGAGCTAACAGACAAATATCTACAGGTCCTGCTAAACTCACTCCTACCACAAGCACTCTCATCTACAAATCAACTGCTTTAAATGTAACCCAGGGATAGTTATCCACAGTGCAGTCCACAAGTTTACCTGCAAAATAGGTACATTTTCCAAATTTAACAGCTTAGCTCGTTCAAGTCTCCAACAACGGGCAATATTGCCTTAGTGACATTAAGATGACGTTAGTATTTACAATGGTATTTTGCTACAGCTGTGATGGTCTTGAGAATAATTTGTAGGTAAAAATACTATGTTTAATTAGATCAGTTGCTACAGCTGGAAGTATCAGATAAGCTCCCAGGCACACAAAAGGATGCAATATTACCTACAAATCTATAAATTACCTACAAACCTCTGTGTCTATATTCAGTATGAATAATCTAAGACAGAAAATAATTTACAAAAGCATTGTACTGTTTGCTTTTGAAAGCAACATAAAAGAAACATCAGGAAAAAAAAAAGCCTCACAATGACTCTGAAGCTTGAAACCACATCACTGAAACTAAAGTAGACCAAAGAAACGTCCATTTCACAACTTCAGCATCAAGGTTTCCAAGATACCTTTATCATCATCCTATTACATGCAGTGACCGCTTATTGTTCCACATACCATAAACCGAATGCTGGATACAACTAAAAACAGGCTTTGAGCACCCCACATCTGCAAATCAGCACAGGGAATATTTATAAACAAACTCACTAATGCTCCAGAGGCACCTAAACTGATCTAGACTCCTACTGAAGTAAGTGAACACTCCCAGGAAGTAATATCCTTAAAACAAATGGAAGTAGGAAAAAAAAAGTCACAAACAGATGTTATTAGGTTTTCAGGACAGAAACTACTTGAATAGGATTCCCAGCATCTAACAGAACATAGCCACTTCTCCTCTCCAACTATCACAGTTAACTGTCACAGATTAGTCTGCCTCTCTCCCGCAGAGAGAAGATGCACCTCAATTTTGGAAGCATTAGGTCACATCCCTTTCAAGAGTTTCATAGCTATAGCAAATTGGCTTTGCTGGACAGAGAAATTTTTTGAAAAATTCCTGAGCTATAATAGACTTTGCTAATAAGTTATGTTGTCATAGCTGAAAAAACCTAGTTAATGAATCTTCTATTTTAGATAAGAGAACTTGTGGAGACTCAAGGAAGGTGATTAAGTAAATCAGTTACAGGCTGACTAAAGTCACTTTAACAGCATAATTAAACTCAACCCAATCTGTACCTCAAATCAAAATAATACTTATTAAAGCTAGTCAAAGTTTAGACTTCTACATTAATATACCTCTGGTGCAAAAATATTTCTCATTGGCAGGAAGCAGACAGGTTACTTTTTAAACTTGAAGCCAAAGGGGAGGCCTGTTGCACCCATGAAGTAGAATCAGACTAAGCAAGATTTAATACCTGCTTGTCCTAAATCCAAACCAAAATACTAATACAGTGCAACTGCATTTTGTAACACTGTAATATATACTAATAACATAATAAAGTGACACACATTCTCTAACGGAGCCAAGCATAAACGTATAAATAATGTGAAACCATAAAGGGGCCAAGAGGCTTATGGTATGGTTGTTCAAATAGGGTAAAGAAAAAACGTAAAAGCAATAAAATCCGCAAGGCAAGTACAAAAGATGTAGAACAAACAGGAGAGATGTCTAGTGAAATCAAATAATCCTGCAGAATAAGCAAAGGCCTAGCAAAGCCAGAACAACACCTAGTCCCCCAAATAAGTTGAACAGCAGATGAAATCACCAGGGGGGGGGGGGGGGGGGGGGGGGGGAAGGTGGAGATGAGTATAAAATACCAATTATGAGGGGAGGGTGGGGGGGAAGGGGAAGAGAGAAAAGAGCCCACTTCAGTTCTAGCCTCCCTCAAAGAGTTCTCAAGCTTGATCACCTTGACCTTACTGACTGAGACACCCTTCGCTGTGATCTATAGCTCCCTATTGATATACGAACATGTTTGGTTGCAACAAACTACAGAACAAAAATTGTCATACTACATATATTTTCTACACTCCCTATGAATGGATAATCAGAAATTACATTTTTCTAGTACGCACAGATGCCATTTTCAGGAATTTGTCTCTTACTCAAACTTGAAAAGACTCAGTTTAGTTTGGTCTTTGCATTCCAAAACAAAATATTTTCTTAAAAAGAAATATTTTTTTTTCCTGAAAATGCTATATTCCACACTAATATTGGTTAAGAGAATTGGCTTTCCCTCTTGTCTAATATCCACAGTGACTGGATGTAACCTATACCATACTCGGAGAATAACTAACACCTTCGTAGCCATCTATCTACTTACTAAGTGGTTCAATGACACTCAGCTCCTGGTGACACTAACATAATTACAATAGCTTCTGTCAGCCATGAATATAGTCACCTAGGATTGCTTTTACAGGCCAGCCTGACAAGAGTCCGCACATTTCATCTGACAGAATAACTAGAGAATTTTGTTACACAGTAGTGAGAAAGAAAAACTCAGAGCCTTAGCACCCTGAGTCTTCTGTTCAAGTGCTAACATAGAGAATAAAAAAGAGAGAGGAATTGAATCCCATCTTTTCTACACAGAGTTTCCTGCTCTGGTGCTAAGGAGAAGGTCAACTGCTTCTGTAGTTCTCTCGCTTTTGACAGGGAGAGAGAAAACGTAGCTATGAAAAGGACATGGAATTTTCCCTATGCAACTTCAAAATACTGTTTTTTTATTAATAAGGGTATCAATAAACCTCTTACACATTAAGAAGCAGTTTTGATGTGTCTCCAGATGAGCAGTGATAAGATCTTACATAGCTGGAGACCCTGCAGTACTTGCTCATAAATAATGCTGACCTCCTACATACCTTGGGGGAAGCAGGACAGCTGGAAACTGAATCACTGCCAACTTCAGGGGACAACCCATTTTCCCGCTTGGAAAATCCCCATAAAGTTTATTCACAATTTTCCATCAAATCATTAACCTCCCAGTTAGCCACGAGAAAACCGAAAAAGATCTACAATTGCTTTAGAAAAAACGTTAAGATGGCCCTGGTATTGTGCCTGCGAGCACACTAGGACATAAGTCTGCTCTGTTCACCCCTTTAACTAAGAGCTAAGAGTCAAGCAGCGTTTGACTTATGTCACATATGAAACACTCAATTCAAGATAATTTTTGCAACATCATATTATATGCTTACACACCACGTAACTCTTTTTTTGGCAAATACCCTGCAGGGGAAGTTTCTGGCAATGCAGGAATTGTCAAGTCTCAAACTGAGTTTCACCTAGCTCCATATCCAGCGGCCAACATCAGGCAGTCCGCGCACACACACAATAAAGTAGCCGTGCTGGTTCTTAATAACAAAAGTTGATTTATCTGAAGTTAGACAGATGAAATCAGATTCATCAGACGGAGGTTAAGTTAAAAGAGAATGCTAAAAATAAAAAAGTCAAGATAATTAAATCCAAACCAGTCTTGTATTAAAGAATAAAAAGATGAGACTTCTGATCTATTTATATTTTTACAAAAAGAAGTTACAATAATCTCTGGACACAGATCCAGGTATGAAGAAACATTCTTTTGTTATGCAGGGAATTTAGCAACATTCTTTAGAAAACTTAAATGGCATATGCTTATGCTGGTAGAAATGAATATCTCTTTTTTTAAGAGAAAATAAATACTGTATTCTAAAAGCACTAGCGCTGATCAACGACATCTTGCACCATATCATTTAAAAGAATTTCAGCATTTATTTTTAAGCTTGCCAACCTGAAAGTTCAAGCTGAAAAAGGAAAGTCGATTTTTCCTGATTCTCAGTCCACTCCTGAATAAGGATTCAGTAATGAAAACTTATATCACAACACCATTGATACAACACCACTGAGAAAACGTAGACCGTTCTTGTATACTGTTGCAAAGCTGACCGGAATAAGACCTAAGCCCTTTTGTATTTAATATTAACATATAAAAGATTACCTGCTAAATTAAAAAAAAGAGTCAATCTGAAGTCCACAATGACTTGAATATTTGGTTATTAAAAAAAACCAAAAACATAGTGTGCTTCGGTTTTATTTTACACAGACGTCAATTACTTTTTTTTTTTTTTTTTTTTACTACCTCCATAGCTTGTGCTAAGCGTTCCTCTAATGCCATATAGGTGAGAAATTGAGGGTCCACATATGAAATGGCTTGAGCGACTCCGAGGCCATCCCCAAATTCATCCAGTAGCCTGAAAAACATGAATTAGGTAATAGAGTCTTCGTTTCAAAGTTAATAGTAACAACACAAGGGCTGGGTACATTAACTACTGTGTTTCATCACTAAGGAAGCTTGCTGAGCCTAGCCCAGCCTCCAGAACTGAAAAACAGCATTTGTTCATACTGTACTAAGAATCCTCCAATTTCCTTGGTAGCTTGCTGCAATAGTTAATTGTCTCGCACTGTAAGAATATGTACCTTTTTTGCAGCTTAAGCTTCCACGCATTACTCCCTGTTATGCTCTCTGTAAATACACTAAAGAGACTGGTATACTCTCCTCATTAAGGTACTTCTACACTGCAATTCAATTATCTTTTAATAAGCCTAAGATTTAAGTCTCTCACTGGAAAGCATTATCTCTAGCTCACTTTAACATTCTCTTTAAAATAAACACTATACTATTCTAGGATTATGTTCAATAATCCTGTGGAAGTGGCTCTGCTTTTCTCCTGCCACTTGCAGCAGTTTTCTAATAATTATATTACAATATTTTTCAATAATCTAATGACAGAAAATCAAGCGTAATATACAAAATTATGGTAATATTAAGTTCGCACTTGGCATTACAAAGGGAAATAAAGTAGGTTTTATAACGTCTAACTTACACCAGTTGCAATGGAGAAAAAGTTACAAAATTATATCAACTTAAATGCTGATTACATTCATACTGTTACACTTTTATTATACTTCCATTATATTTAGCAGCCTGAAAAAGAACTGAAAAATACACCTAATATCTCTAAACTAACCATTCAGTACAGCAGAATTTCATAGAACCACAGAATGGTTGAGGTTGGAAGGGACCTCTAGAGATCATCTAGTCCAACCCCCCTGCTCAAGCAGGGTCCTCTAGAGCACGTTGCACAGGATCGCGTCCAGGCACGCTCTGAATATCTCCAGAGAAGGAGGCTCCACAACCTCTCTGGGCAACCTGCTCCAGTGCTCTGTCACCCTCACAGTCAAGAAGTTTTTCCTCATGTTCAGATGGAACTGCCTGTGTTTCAGTTTGTGCCCGCTGCCTCTCGTCCTGTCACTGGGCACCACTTGGAAGAGTCAGTCTGCCCACATCCTCTTGACACCCTCCCTTCAGATTTCTGTAGACATTGATGAGATCCCCTCTCAGTCTTGTCTTCCCCAGGCTAAACAGGCCCAGCTCTCGCAGCCTTTCCTCACAAGACTCCAGTCCCCTCATCATCTTTGTAGCCCTCCGCTGGACTCTCTCCAGTAGTACTGCGTCTCTCTTGTACTGGGGAGCCCAGAATTGGACACAAGGGCACCTTGCTAGCTCATGGTCAACTTGTTCTCCATGACACCCAGGTCCTTCTCTGCAGAGCTGCTTGCCAGCAGGTCAACCCCCAGCCTGCACTGGTGCAGGGGGTTATTGCTCCCCAGGGGCAGGACCTTGCACTTGCCTTTGTGGAACTTCATGAGGTTCCTCTCCGCCCACCTCTCCAGCCTGTCCAGGTCCCTCTGAAGGGCAGCACAGTCTTCTGGTGTGTCAGCCACTCCTCCCAGCTTTGGATCATCAGCAAACTTGCTGAGAGTGCACTCTGTCCCTTCCTCCAGGTCACTGATGAATACGTTGAACAAGACTGGACCCAGGACTGACCCC